AAAAAGTATTAAATATAATCAGCATAAAATATATAAATGTATCAATTATTTGTGTCCATAATTATTCATTGATATATAAATGGCGCATAAATATAAGTGAAATTGGTATATGAACTTTCTTTAGCACAGGAATACTTCAATGCGTATTACCTACGACTCTGGTTCAATGGAATTTTTTAAGAATTATATAATCAAATTTGTCTTAAAAATCAGCATTAATATAAGTAATAAATTGATTAATGAATTTTTATTATCACAGGGATACTTCAATGTATATAACCTGTAACTTTAGTTCATTACTAATTAAATCGATATTAAATACTAAATAAAAATTTTAGTTTTAAAATAATTACGTTTTTAATGTTGGATAATATGCCTTGCGTTTAACAGTGTGAACTTCACGAGTCTCACCATTCTTTTCACCTTTAATTGGTTTTACAACTATGGATTTCTTGAATTTCTGTAATAAAAAAACAAATTAGTACAAACAGACAATACAAAATTAGACTAATAAACTATTTACTCGAGTTTCATTAGTTGGCTTTCCTTCAGCTTTAGCTTTAGCTTTTAATTTATTTTCAGTAGGCCTATGAACGAAACGCCAAGTTCCACTCTTGTACACCACTTTCCATGTAGCTGTACCACTTAACAAATTTTGCTTGGGTTTTTTCTTCAGTGTACCAGCTGCTCTAGCCTTCTTTTTGGCTTCATATTTGGCCAAGCTTTTCACTTTGCTTGGCCTCAACTTTTTTGAAGAATCTGGCTTCGCAGCAGCAACTTTAGAACTAACCATCTAAAATTTTTTATATATTATTCAGTATAAGAAAAAAAAGAACTGTTCGAATTAGTAGTTTTACAAGAAACAGTTGAAGTTTTCATTAAAAATATAAAAACCATGGTACTTATTTATTTTTATTTATTAATTGAAATATTAAACGGACTTGAGCCCAATTAACATGAATATTTAATACATAGCATATGAAAATAGATTAAAACAATAAAATACTTAATGTAACAAAACAAAATATAAAACTATTAAAAGTGTATCAATTTATATGCATAATAAGGTTAGCGGAAACATGATTTTTAAATGAGTAAAACGAGATACAGTAGTCACTCGATAATTTGAAAACTTCATGTATCGAACTAAACTCTTAGTTCACTGAGAAAACCTCCACAATTAGAAAAAATACATACATTCTGGTTCCCTTGATAATTTAAAATATCTGTTAGTAGGACTCACTCTACAATTCAAATATTTTTTTTCAGAACCTCTATAATTCGAATTTACTTTAACATAATTATATGTTCATATGTAAATAGATAATGTACATCTATTTTATGTAGTTACAATGAAATTAATAATGACAGTCATTAGATATTATCGTATCTTAACTACCTAATCTTGATTTTAATTGAATCATTTAACCCAGTGCTTCTCAACCTTTTTCAAACTGATGCCCACCCTAAGAAGCAAAATGATTTTCAATGTCCCCTCCTCATCATTTCATTAAAATTAAAATAGTATACATGAAATATTTATAATTTAATAATAAATAATACATGTATATATATAATTATAACATTTATGGTTTAAATATAATTTAAATGTTTTGAAATATATTGATCAGTAAGATGGTTGTGCTTGGTGATTCAAAGCCAATTCTTTTAAGTTTGGTTCAGTTTGTGAGATGAAGGCGTAAATCTCCTCTTTTAACGATGTCGAGTCGATTTCTTTTTTTCGGTTATTAGATAATAATGCACTGCCACTGGCATATGTAGTTTATATTTCATAATCGCGAATTTATTTTAGAAATCGATTAACGGGAAACAATTACAGATAAATTTTGGAGCGTTGCTTTGAACAGAAAAAAAGTTCACCACTCCCTTATCACCCAAAATGAGTTCACCTAACACGACTCCTCGGTATGCCTTCACAGCCCACTGGAGGGCGTTATCGCCCCCGTTGAGAAACACTGATTTGATCAAAATACCTCTGGCAATGGGTAAACAGTAGATGAAATCGAATAAAACATAGCCGGTTGGACTACGAGTCCCATATAAGTGTTTGTCGATTGCCGCAAAAAATAAAGTGATTGCGGCGGTTGAAAGTAAGAAATCAGTAAGTTAGAGAACACTATGGACCAGATTGTGGCCAATAATTTAACACAAAAAAATTATAACAGATTTTTTTTAAAATGTAAAATATAATACATATTATGTATAATAAATAATTGTAAAATATAATACATAATATGTATAATAAATAAATGTATTATATACATGTAATTTTCACCTCTCTTTAATTCAAATTAATTTCTTCCCTCGATTATTCGAACACTCGATAAATCGAAAACCTCTATATAATTCGAATCATTAGCTCAGTCTCCTGAATTTCGAATTATCGAGTGACTACTGTAGTACAAAACGGATCAACGAGATTGCTTTATCCGTCGGAAAAGAGTTAAGACGCAAGACGGAACATACAGGATCGAAAGACGAAAAATCGGTCGAGTGTTTATTCGAAAGACACGAGACGGAAAAACAATACAATGAACAATATTGAAATACGCGAAACGTTCGAAGGCAAAAACGACCGTTCCATCGGGTCTTGCGCCTGAGGAACAACGATTTCGCGCAACCGTCGATAAGTGGACCGGGAAACCGAAATTTCCGCAAACGCGTCACCGGCTTTCAAACGGCGACGGACCGAAGCCGTCGGACATCGCACAGCTCGCGAGATCGTTGAGATTGAAACGGATAAAAATAACGAGTACTTACTTTGACGGGAATATCCGACCGACGAACAACACTAAGTTAACGCGAACTCGCGAAAGAGAGACAGCGCAACCGAACTGTTGTCCGAGTTGTTGACAACATTTAGGTTAGGTGTCCGGCAGTGCGGCCAACCCGACCGCCGTGTCTCGGAGACGTCGGAACTGACGGTTCGAAGCGACCGAGTTTCACCGTCCAAAAAGTTCTCCAATAAGTTCGTCGTCGTTGTTGCAGCAAAACATTTACGTCTCTCAACGTTTTTTCGTTAGACAATTACGTTTCGCGAACACGAACGGGTTCGACGGGAACAGCGGACGGAATTCAAATACGAGTAATCTGAAATTCCTACGGGAATACCGGGTCAGCGCGTTACGTTATTACGTTGCCGGCACCGACGCACGTCCCGTTTTACGCATGATTACTCTTATCAATATACATTTGCATTGTTAACAACGTACCCAATGTTATGACGTTCCCGGAACGAGCGCAGCTCATAAATTCCCGTGCACGATACGTTCGGGTCCGTCGCGTGTCCGTGTACCGCACGTGTACGAACTGTAAAATGTGACCGAAGTGAACCCGAGACGTCTTGGTTCATTTACATACCGATTTATTTGTACAATATGCAAATGTAAAACGCATTAGATATGCTCGTTGCATTCATCAACACGTCAAACATGGTAAACATTTTTCGTCTCGTTGAAAACGGGTCAGCTTCACTTGGACATGATTAAAATGTACCGTTGGGAATTTTGAGAATGGTTCGCTTTCCCAATAGTTCTGGTTAGAGCTGTACGATTTTCATATTACACTTTATTATAATAACAAGCTCGTACCGAACGATTTGAAAATGACTGACGGCTACTCGAGATTCGAAGATGATATGATTGTGAATTCATATCATGCTCAATCGCCCAGTAAGTTTGTTTTATACCATTTATGATATTGATTTGCATTAAATGTAACAAAGCTTTTTTTTTTTTTTTTTTTTAATATAGATCGTAAAGGAGATGTTCCATTAAATGTTAGCGAATCAACAATACCAAATGAAGAAGGTGAAAATATAGACCTGAGGAATCATTTTGATGGACGCCTCGATGTAATATTCAGTGATGGAGATCGTAGAATCGATGTTGATCAATTTTGGGAAATGAATTACCATGAAGCTTCTATATTTTTAGAAGTAAGCCTTTTTAATAATATTTATTAAGTTTAAAGTAATTTATATGATTTTCTCATTAACCATTACTAGGAAGGTGAAAATAACGAAAAATTTGATTCTCATCCACACGAACCTGAAGCTCTTCCAGCTTACCTTTTGGTGCACAACGATTGGTATTACGGTATGGATTTGGCTACATCATTAGTTTTAATTGTACTAGCATTTGCTGAAGATCCAGCAACACCACCATTTGAAGTAAGATCTATATAAAATAATACAATTCTCCTTATAAATGTATACTATTTTCATGATGGTTAATTTTAGATGCCAGTTGCTCTGCATAGCATTATAGAACTTTTTGCTCTCGTAATAATTGGTCTTGGTTTAGCATTGAAACTTAGATGGATGGGTTGGTTAACAATTTTGAAACACAAACGCACCATGTTAAAAGTAAGCATAATTTTTATAAATGGTTTAGCTTTAAAAATATTAGTCTTAATAATAATTGTTATTTATAGTAAAATGTATTAATATTTGATTTTCTAATTTTAGTGTATAACATTAACAATAATGATTGTTGAAGCATTTGTGGTGTTGGTACGTCAAACATCTCATTTTCGAGTATCAAGAGCATTGCGGCCTATTTTCTTAGTTGACACACATTATTTAGGTGGTGTTCGGCGTTTTATACGACAAATACTTCAATCATTACCACCAATATTTGACATGCTATTACTGATATTCTTTTTTGTCACTGTATATTCTGTGCTTGGATACTATTTATTCAATAATACAACTGATGTACATAACCATTTTGACACATTATTTAACAGCTTTGTCAACATGTTTGTTTTGTTAACTACAGCCAAGTTAGTTATTTTTAATAATATTGCACCTTAAATAGACTTTTATACTAGTTTATTTTTAGTTTTCCAGATATTATGATGCCTGCTTATTCAAAGTCAAAGTGGTATTCATTATTCTTTATTTCATACTTGTGCATTGTATTGTACCTTCTAATGAATTTAGTAAGTAATTATTATACTTGTGCAAATTAAGCAGTTTTAATTCAATTTCAATTATACAATTATTTCTAGATGTTGGCTGTAGTCTATGAAACATTCACTAGTATTGAAAGAGACAAGTTCAGAAAATTGCTGTTACATAAACGCCAAGCTTGTAAAAATGCATTTAAACTTTTATTGACCAAGGAAAATCCTAATCAAATGGAATTTACTCAGTTTGAAGGAGTGATGAGATATTATGCACCTAAAAAAAGTAATTTTCACAATTATCTTTGGAATAAAAAAATTTACTTAATTTACTATTTATATTATTATTTCAGGCAACCGAGATTTATTGGTGATGTTTAGGTATTTGAATACTAGTGGGTCTGGTTCTTTGACTATTGAAGAATTTTACGGCATATATGATGCTGTGATGATGACTTGGCAGCCACAAGCGTTGGATACACCATGGTATTTTACAGCATCTCCTACAGTGCAAAAAATTTGTCAAGTTGCAAATTCAACTATTTCATGGCCATATTTTGATCATATATTTTGTAAACGAAAACGATATATATTTAATATTTAAAAATATCATTAATTTTATATTTTAATTTTAGATATAATAACTGCTTTAAATGGTATTGCAATGATTGAACGAGGAATGCATTCGTATTCAAATTTACAAGAGTCTGTACTTGCATTTAGTGCTGGATGGGATACATGTTTCTTTTTAGCATGTATTTATATTTATTTATTGACATCTAGTGGTTTTTTTTCGCAAATTTTACAAAAATATAATTATGTGTTTTAGGTTTTACTTTAGAAGTAGCTTTGAAGACACTTGGCATGGGATTAGAACGTTATTTCTCATCTGGTTGGAATTTATACGATTTTGTTGTGACATTTGGTGGTTTAGTTGCTGTTATATCACTACGTATATTCCCAGATTTTGTATATTTTGTTGTTTTTAGACCACTTAAATTGTTGAGACTATTTAAACTAAAGAAACGTTATAGAGATATTATCGGTACTATGGCAATTTTATCACCTTTAATTAAATCTGCAGGATGTGTTATGCTCGTCATGTATTACTTTTTTGCTATTATTGGAATGGAATTGTTTGCTGGTTATGACATGCGCAATTGTTGCAAGTAATTCATATTCTTACATTGTCTTTTTAATTTTAAAAAAATGTCAAAGGATTTTATTTATTTTAGTGGCACAAATATTGAGACATATTACAAATTTACTCCAGATAAGTCTGGATATTATTACTTAAATACTTTTCCTAATTTGGCTGTCAGTCTTGTAACACTATTTGAATTAACTGTTGTCAATAATTGGTTTGTTGTGATGAATGGGTATGCAACAAAAGTACATGCTGCTAGTCGAGCATACTTTGTATTATTTTATCTTTTCACCATGGTTGTATTAACAATAGTTGTTGCTTCAGTTCTTGAAGCTTTTAGATTCCGAATACAATACAAAAAGCAAACTACAAAGAGAGATGGTAAATTCTATAATATTAACTATCTATAAGCAATGTTATTTTAAATGTCTAAAAATTGACTTGTAGAGGAAAAATTGCTGCATGAAGAGATTGAACTCAAATGGGAAGATGTTATGAACTATGTAAAAGATTTCCAAGCATTACAAAAGTATAGATCGGATATGTTTGTAGGAGTTGTAAGTTTTGTTGGATATTATTTTTTGCCAGTTTAAATGTAATTTGGTTGTTTAATTTTTTTTTTTTTAAATATTTAGGGTAAAATATCTTTTTTGGGAAGTCGCCCAAGAAATCGTCAAGTACTGCAACGGCGGATGTATAGGCATGAAATTGAACAATGGATGCAAGAAGCTGCTGCTATCGATAAACGTCTGTAAGTGAATAAGTTTCTTAACACTGAAGAAAACGAATTAAACTGATGGGGTCAATTTAATAATAGAATAACTAGTATTTACTATATACATATATGTTGTATAAGGCAAAAGTAATTATTTAACTATATTATTATTATTTAATAATTCATTATTAACACATGCTAATAATAACTTTATACCCAAGGTATGTGTCTTATTATAACTACAATAATTTTGTTCCATTCCTAAATTAATATTCTGTAGGAAATAGTTTTTTTTTTTTTTGACAATTGTTTTTAAACTCATCTATCGTAAAAACAAATGTCCTTCTGAAAATAATTATGGTAGAAAAAATGCAAAAGTTAATAATTGTTTTATGAGTCATAAACTAAACTATTATACTATTCGGTTTTGATATCCTTTGCCTGTGATTTTATAGTATTACCCTGAACAAAAACGATCAAGTATTTATTCTGTTACTATTTATTTTTTATTTTTTTTTTGTCTATGTTTTTATAGTGAATTTAATTAATTGATTTTTATTTATTGAATAATGTATTAGAATTTATTTTTTACTGTTGTAAATCAAATATGTTGTCTGTGATTAACATTTTATGAGATATATTGAACATTTAAATGAAGATTCAAACCAGAACATATCTAACTATGAATTTTAATATATTGCTTTTTAATATCTGGTTACTTAAAAAGTTAAATAATACTGTAAGGTAGCTAGTCATATATAAAAAATATTTAATAGTTTTTATTTATTTGTATTATTACTTTCAGAAAATTAAAATATTTAGTGTTTTGTGCATTATAGAGAACGTTTTTTAAAATGATTCTATGTAATTCGACCAATATTTTTTATTTATTTTATCGAAAAGTAATTGCATTTGAAAAACCAAACTATTAAAATATAATGTTAGTGATTATTTTTTAGAATATTTATGGTTGGAATTGATTATGTTTTAATTTGTTTTAATATAAACCTTTAAACACTTAAAATAATACTCTTGCAATACTGATGTCATGCATAACTTTTAATTATAATTGATTTTACATTAATTGTCTCATAATAGTTAATATTCATTTTTATTTCTAATATTAATAAAAAAATAATAAAAATATTTGTAATTCATATACGATATAATTAAAAGTAATATTTTTCGTTGTTTCACTAATAAAAGATAAAAAAAAATGCAAATTTTACATATTCACTCCAAATGCTTAATTTTTTTTTAAAAATGCGACTGATTATTACAATGTATTATTATAATTAACAAATATCAATTCTGTTTCAATATTAATAATGTCTTCCTGAAAACCTCTCAAATAGAATGATAATTTAAGTTCCTAAATTTCAGATAGTATTTTTCAAAACCAAATAGTGTATAAAATAAATGTATCTTTGGTTGATATAGTTTACACAAATAAATATATATTTGAATAATATATATTAGTTGTTTTTAATTGTCATCATAAATGGCATAGTTGTAATTGTTTAAGAACAATATTATATAAATACCTAACATATAAGTATATTATAATTTAAAAGTACCTGATAACTAACATAAACACATTTCAAATGTTATTTATTTATTGTAGTATATTTTATTCTGATGTATGGTGTTTATTTAAAAGTATTATTTCTTTGTATTATTGTATTTTGGTTATTTACTGACTAGCTTATAGTTTTTAGTATTATTACTTGTGATCAATAAACTACCTATTTACACATTATTTCTGGTATCTTATGAATTATAATAATGTACTATCATTGTCCTATTATTTTTTTATGAGGAAATGTTATATGATTTTTTTTCGTAACAATTTTTACTAATAAGAAATTTTTATTCGTTAATATGATTGAATAACCTAATAAATTTACTATGTATAACACGGTCATGTATATTTAAATAGTTTTTATTTTTTATACACCTAATAACAATATCTCTTTTTATGTTCTTATGTATAATGTTTCAAGATGGTAAGAGAAGTAATAATTCTGCAAATAATTATATGAACCCATCATTTTAAAGCATTAAATCCTTATTTTTTCTTAATATTTGATACATACAGTGAACTTAATAAAAAATGTATATATATATATATATATATATATACATAACATATAATAACATATATATATGTTTTTATTATTATCTATTTACTTGTTTTCAACAATAACTCAATCCAATGTGATTTTGAAACAGATAATTGTTTTATATGAGTCACTTGAGGTGGAATATCACTTGGATTTACCTGGTGAAATAATCCACTGTTGTTTGTACAGTTAAAATTAAATATTATATTAATATTAAATTTTTTTCGTAGGAAATTTGAATTAGACAAGTGAGAAAATAATTAAATACCCACAAAAAGAATTTGTTATATTTATATAGTATAATTAACATACTATAATTAATTAATTTTAAAATCTAAAATACTAAAAAATAAATTAGAAATCCCCAGAGGAAATTTAATTTGGACGTATATAAAATAATTATGTACCAGCATAAAGAAATAATAATTAAATTTAAAGAAATATACTTATAATAGTAATTTAAAGTTTAATAATTTATTTTTACTAGCTCTAGGCATGAAAAGTCCTGATTATATGTAGAAGGTCACCCCATTGAAGTAGATCAATTTTAGGGTTGTTGATCATATAAGGTTTTGCACTACTGATTTAGACTTAAATGGATTAAATACTTATTGGTAAGTTAGTAAACATACAAAAGATCACTTAAAAAAAAAATAAATATATTTATTGATATCAAATTACTATAGATAAAATAATACATTTTATAAAATTAAAAATAAAAATAGGTGATATTGTAAAAAAATTATGTGATTTCAAACATTTTATATATTATGTATATATAACATTTTTAAAGCTGCGTGTTTATGTGTTGTAACACAATATGCAGTTATTAAAATTAATTGATTTTGTTTGTTGTTGTACTATAAATAAAAAAATTTTTGATTTTTAATAATACTCTTTGGGAAAATACTCCGGAAATATTACATTCCACATTATAGCTGAGCCTATTGCCAATACATAAATGACAAAACAAAACCAACATAATTTTTTTTCCCATGGACGGACATTAAGATTTCGTAATGTATATACTCCAACAAGAAGACCAGCCACAGCACCAGCCAAATGTGCAGTATAACCAATCTATTTAAATTGTATTTACATATAATATACAACATTAATTTATTTATCTATTATTTTGATTTTAATATAAAATAAATGCTCCTACATACCCGATTGTCCACATCGACGAAAAATCTATTGTAAATAGATGATCCCGTGTCAAAAATTATTAAAAATCCAAATATCAACAATTGGTAAATTGCAAATTCCATTTCAGACCAATTCTACAAAACAAATTTAAGCAAAATATTATTGTCAAAACAAATATATACAATTTATAGTCAAACAAAAGTTCAATAACAGGTTTCATTTAAGATAACTGCATAGTTTTTGAGAAATAAAACTACTTTTTTCCCCGTAGCACAATTAAATGTAAGACAAATAATTATGTTAAAAAAATATGATAAATAATTCACATTTCATTTATTAAGATAAATTTTCAGTTTTAGTGTAGCTATGAAATAAATTATTGTGTTAAAGCTAGATCAACTTACAATAATTATAGTGGCTATATGTGCTGTAATTAAAGCATAAACACCTCCAGAAGCACCAGCTAAATAAACTGAAGGATCTGTTACAGACGTTGCTAGTGAACCAGCTATAACACCAGAAAAATAAATTAGGATTACTCTCCAACCACGATGTACCATCTCCAATGGAACTCCAAGTAATAACTGAACAATTAAGTTTACTGTTAAATGAGTCTGCCTGGAAAATAATAGCAATTTTTTTTTAAATTGTAAATGATATGTTATCAGAATTTTATAACAGTATTGCTTATTATCAACTTACCCAACATGTACAAACATATAAGTCACATAACGCCAAGCTTCATGTCTACGATGAGGATTATAGATAAAAGTTGATGCCACAGGTCCTTGGATTGACTCAGTCGATTTTAATTTCAATACATCCCAAGAGAAAAAGAGTACCTTTTTTATACAACAAAATTTTTTTTAGTTTTTTATATGACAATATAAATTATATACATACAGTATCAATTAACCAGTTTAAATATAGAAATCTAATTGTCTCTAATGCTACTTGATTTAAATTAAATTTTTCGTAATAAAATTAAATATTCTATTATTTAAGTATAATTATATATACCAAGTATTAAAGGTAATTACTCTGTCAAGGGGTTCATAAATTCCAAGATCAGCTTTGTTCCTAATAGATAATTAATTTTATAGTTTCAAGTTGTCAAAAAATAATTTTAATTAGATAAAAATTACAGATGCATTTAGACAGCTCATTAAAAAAGTAATAGATTACATGCAAAATAATATCAACTTACTTCGATTAGACTAATAATAATCATACACAATGCAGGAGGATTGCAAGAATATTCATCTTCATAATCACCATCAGTAAGATCCACTCCAGCAGTCCTCAATTTAGGCAGGCCTCTAGGTACAATTGTATAATGAATGTATTTGTTAACAAAATTTGCAGTTAAATTGTGAGCTATAGGTTCTTCTTCCATCTAAAAATAAGTTAAACTAATATGATTATTAAAATTCAAAACTTGAATTATAAAATTTAAATAAATAAACTAACTAAATTTAAAAATTCTCTAAAATTAATATATCCATCTTGATTATGATCAGCTTTGTGTGCAATGATTGCTAAGACTTTAGGAGGTACATTATATTGATCACCAGCTCCTTGTTTTAAAACATGATGCAATTCATTAATGGATATTTTTCCATCACGATTTTTATCAAACTAAAAAAACATAAAACAATTGAATATAAATCACAACTAGATTATTTTCAAAAAAATTTAATACATAAACAATTTCAAAATTATGACTTACTTGATTGAATAAAATTTCCCATTGCTGAAAAAAAAAATGAGATGAAAAGTTATTTACAAATTTAATACAAGTAATATTAAGAAAAGTTTTCAAAATAATATTTAAACATATGAAAATATTTAAATAGTTAATTAATTAAAAATATAATTATAAAAACAAACAAATTAAGAGATTTACTTTGAAAACTCTCATAAAAAAACAAATAAGAACTATAGAAGAATTTTTCTCTATTAAAATTAACTAAAATAAATCTTTCCAGTGAGGTAATAGTTACAGGAAGATAATGATTCCAGAATTCTCGCTGTTAAAGTTTATATTTTGTGTAAATTAAATTAATTGTTGACATTTAAAAATGGTGCGGAATAATCACATCCGATAAAGAAAATGCTAAATGAAACCGGACAATTGATAAAATTATAATTTGACATTTAAAACCCTGTTTACATCATCATTCCTCGTAGCAAAAAATCAACAATCAACAATTAGTCATACACTAAAAATTTAATGTCAAAGAACGAGTTGCAAATGAGTCATGATAGAACTCTCTAAACACACACACACACCCGTAGCCATCAGGATCAGACTAAATTCTTATTGAACACATTGATTTTGATTAATATTAGTAAAGGGACAAGAACTTTGCAATAATAATAACATTGAGTATCAGTGCTGTTAATTTCAAAAACCGATTGATTGAATATAGGTACCAACAAGTCTGTCTTGTCGACTAGTGACAATGTAACATTATAATACTTACCGATTCGACACTATTCAGCGGTATGGTATGGAACTGTTGATTTTGATTGGACATTTTAAACGGTTGACTGTAAACTACACTAACCCACTACGATTAAATCAAAATTGCAAATAGATTAACGGATCAAGTTACATTATCGGATTCGCCGGAAGGAAATCGCAACCGATTTGATAGTATAGCACTGGTTGCTTATCGGTCCGCGGCTGCGATGTGCGCAAGTAAACAAAAATACAGGGTCGACAACCTGACGTTAACAGTTCCGTGGAACGGCAAACGCAAATTTGCTGAACTTCGGACGGTAGTATTTGCATAGCCCGACCGGATACCGAATCCGCAGCGATCCCTTGACGGCAGGCCGACATTTTAAAACGTGTTACGCCAGATCTTTTAAGAGCCATTGATCTGCGCATGCGTGTATCTTAATATTCCGCTTATATCTAAACCATGGCTATAGATAATATTATCTATAGCCGTGATCCAAACATTTTTTTATCACACGTTCGCCGCCAACTCTCAGAATGTTATAAATAGAAACCTAGAACACCTGCGATCGATACACCGATACACTGATACATGTTTGACTTTATTGCTGTGCTTCGATATTTGTACCATTATTTTTTTCTATCCAATGTTATTATGGTAGATTATATTCAGTGGCGTAGGAAGACTCGCTAGCGCCCCTGACAAACTTAGAAAAAGTTACTTTTTTAACCCATTAAAATTTGACGCCATATTTTTTTTAACCTTTAATTTTACTAATATTTTTAAGTACACATTTTGTACTTATAAGTTATTATTACAGTGTTAATTTTAAACTTTGAAAATTTGCTTTTCACGCTTTATGACTGGCAAATCCATCGATGATTTCTTCGTACGAAATATTTTATTTAAATGCCCTTGTGTTATTTTCACAATTACCCCATTAAATTCACACACAGTGTGTACAAGTAAACAACATCTACGTACTTCAAAAAGTATAATGGAAAAATGACGATTTAATTATAGGATAAAAATACGACTGTTACACAACTCTGCGCTCCTGGCGTAGACACAGTTCGCCATACCATCGCTACGCCACTGATTATATTATTATTACTTAATCGTTTCTTCCACAAATACGATGAATAAATTAAACAGTGTCATTTACATAGTGATACACGGCAATAAGTATGATGTTTATACGATTTTTATACCAATATTACTTATATTATTGTTATTCCGGCCTCGTGTTAATGGTCCTTTTCAGAAACAAAGTGCCCATTCTTCTTTTCTTAGGTACAAATCAATAATGTAAGACTCAAATTTCAAATACTTTTTAATCAACGGTTCATGTTTGTATATTAGATTAAATGTTATTTCTAATTGATCTTTATTTTTTAATATAGCATATCTTTGACTTTAGAGTACAATAATTTGCGTTGACATGGAGAAACACCGCGGCTAGAATCCCAAAGATACCTCCGGATAGCTCGTAATACACGAAAAATACATAAACAATTTGGTTGAGGAAACGCATTGTGAATTGCAAGTTTTTCAGCAGCTGAATCATATGACAAGAATATTTTAGGTCCATTATCAACCCTTGTAGACAACGCATCCATTAGAAACCGATTATTCCAAAGCAGTAAACATCTTCTGTAATAACATATGATGGCTAGTTTGTAAAAAAAATCGTTCCGATAAAAAAGTTCCCAGCACAGCTAATGGTATATATTACAAACAATTTACAGACTTATCTATCTGTTTTCAAATACGTTGGTCAATAATATTTCACCGCTTTCTTCTAACCCGCAACTTATTCTTTGCATTAAAGGAATCGCAATGACTACTGCAAAATTACCAACTTCAAAAACTTTTATTGATACCCCGTTTTAGTTAATTTCTGTATTATATAAATGTACTGTCTCTGCAAGATATATAATCATCGCATAACCATGTGGTGCACCAAATTTCATTTGAAAGTCTTCTAATAGAAATAATACACCCGTTACGGATCTGGAAACACCCCTCGATCACCAGCATACTCATAGTAATGGTTTCCCTTCTCATTTCTCAGATGGGATTTAAATGTAAATAGTGCTTTTGACGGTGACTTCCCTTCTTCAAAAAGTTTTATTGTTTTATTTCTGCAGATGGTTTTCTATGCTTTAACAGTTATATCGACTAACGTTTTTTGAACTAACCTCATCAAGTTTTATTGAAAAAGAGACGAAATAAAATTATCACCAAACTCGATGTATTTCAATATATGAATAATGATGAAAAGATAATTTCAACTTAAAAGTTTCCAAATTATTCCATCGCCGTTGTTATCAATGATTTGCAATCCTAGTACAGCTTTATAATTGTTTTCATAAGCGCCTACTCGTCCATTTCGGTCCATCCCTCCCTCGATCAGGTGGAAGGCTCAGTTTCGCCAGGGCCGTTCAGAGGGGTGACAACGGGACCTTTTTGCCCCAGGCCCCATTGTTGGAATATTTTTAGGGGGCAACCATAAAGTCTTGATGTATAATAATTAATAATAAAGTCTCGATTACACTGAGCAATTTTACACGCTGCGTGTCAGTGATTAAATTATAAATAATAGGAATAATATTCAATTCTATTATGTGAGTGTTTAATGCAGTACATGCATAAAAATGAGCTTGATTGGTTAAGGTTTGGAAAAATACGTTTGCAAGAATTTTGTTATTCTTAGTGAGTATTTTGTTTATCATACCTTATTGCTGTGGTCGAAGGGGCCCCGAATAAATTTGCCCCTGGCCCCGAAAAACCTTGGTACAGCTCCAAGTTTCGCATCGGTACCGGCCGCGGTCGCTCCACGCCATCAGGACAACGGAACTAGCGCCGGCTAGACTACCGGGCAGGATGATACGGACCGTCGCCGCGAACGCGTAGACGTTTCCGGAACCGTATGGTGGTGCGCGTTCGAGTGACCGAACCCGTTGGCCGGTCTGCTGTTGCGGCGGGTGGGCTCGGTCACACACACACACACACACACACACACACACACACACAAATGCACGCGATCCGTATCTCGGCGGACGCGGAAGGGGTGCGGCGCGTCTGTACTTCCGGTCGATCGGTTATCGGGACCGGGCGCACGCGGCGCCCATTGTTCGCCTTATCTGCGCGACGGGCCCCTACTCGACGTTAAGCCGCCGCCGACGCTGACGAATCTCCCGCGGGACGGTACGGGATGAGGGTGCGTTTGCTCGGCGCGCGGGACCTATAACCGCGGGCCGCGTTCCGTATGCCGTCGCGTCGGTGAATATCGCATGACGCAGGTGCGTACGTGCGCGCAGGGGTGCGACCAGGATTTATTTTCGGCGTTAGAAAAATGTGTTCGAAAAGAAAAGTTTAAGTTTAGAAGTCGGTTCGGTGCCCAGAACAAGCTTAAGTCGAGTACATATTTCACAGGGGGTCACAACCTCCTATCCTAGTTGAGCGCATGTACTCGGCACTGTACACGTTACAACCAGAAACCGGTTTTCGCTTGTAATATGTATGTTCGTGTTTTTCAAAACAATCGAGTGCTGTAAACGCATTTTCGTTGATCGTACTTTTATCAATAAGGTTCTAATAATTATACAACAATACAAAATAATTTTCAGAAATTTTAGCGTCTCCCCGCTATTATTACGTTAGAATTATAACGCTTAAGTTTTGGGGACGCTCTTTTTTTTTTTTTTTAAAAGTAAACAGAGTCCCTTTTCTTTAATTTTTCCATGTCGAGCACGGGTTGTGTTTTCACGTCGAAAATCACGTTTTGACGCCATCAATCCGGATCGTTTCACGCGTCTCGTTCTACCTCGGGTTGTTCGCGTTAAAATTACAATTTAATCGACCGGATAATAAATCATTATCCAATTGAGCCTTTTTCGTGATTTTCTTATTTTTAACCATCTAGGTGGTGTAAGGAATACGATTTCTTGCAACACCAATAAATAACGATTTTTCGTCTTCATCAGCCTCAATACATTTTATAAGGAATTTTCATTGGGCGATAAAAAATATTTTTCTCAAAATAGTCAATTTAATACCATAGTACAATTATAGTATTATTCGTTTGTTTCGCATTACTTCACCCAATCTTTCAAAATATTGTCGACAGAGTATAATCACTGGGTGACATTTGTGTCACCTAGTTAATTAGTTAAAAAATGCACTGATCAGCCTTGTTGGTCATTGCGGCCAACCGACCGATTGTTGTAAATAAAAATTTATAATTTTCTTTCGTTGTGCATATATCGATTTATAATCCTTACTATTAAGAATGAAAAAAAATAAGAAGACACTATAAGGCGAATCCTATGCGATTCCATACTACTTAAATATATATAAATCATTAAATATCGCGTTAATATATCGATACCTAAACCAACGAAAAACACGTGAAATTAAAAATGTATATGTATAAAAAAATAAACTGAAACACTTAAGCGCTATATTGCGATAAAAAAAAAAAAAGGTTCGAAATAAATTTTTAATAACTATTGACTATAAATGATTGATGATTGATATCTGACTAGGTACCGATCGATAAACTGACCGTGTTTACCGTTGAAAAAATCACCCCGTACACTTGTCCACAATGCGGCGGTCGTCACTGGTGGTAAGCACACAAATACATACACAAATTACGCACCTATCCCTACGCATGTGATTCGACCCCACTTTTCGTTTTCGGATTATCGTCAGGCTTAAGCGCGTGCGTTTTGAAATGTTTTGATCTATTGTTGCTACGTATAACAATCCAATTCCGAACGAGTGGTCCTCGTGCGTGTATACGGCCGTTTAAACGTGACATAAAGTAAGGGGCGACGCACGGTCGACGATAATATGCGGTGGCGCAGGGATTTTGTTGTTTATATTATTTTCGTATCGTACCGGTTTTTGTTTATTTTTTTTTTTTTGTTTTCGCTGCCGAATATTATTATTGTTCGTCGCCCGGACTCGTCGGCGTATTGAATACAACATGGCTTTTCGATCGCTGCGATTTCAAGCCCGGCACACCGTGTATTGTTTATTCTTTTCGACCAAAACCGTTTACGAATAAATGCGCAGGGATACGGTCGTCGCATCTGTTTGTCAACACGTAACACAGTGACGGACGACTTGCTTGCGGACACCAACGACACAATATAAATAATAATACAATGAAATACCGTGTGCCAGGCGCCGTAATAGTTTTTCGACACCGTCGTTCGTTCGCGTAACGCATGTACCACGTGGACGAATTTCAAGTTTATGTGTTCACGCGTCGAACTTTCTAATCGTCAGGAGGACTAAGCGGAAAATTTATGATGTCGATAAATTATAGGGTTAAAAACGCCGTCCGAGCATAACTTATCCCATATTTCTCGGGGACATGTATTTTATTTTTATTACACCTACTACGGACCTCTAAATACAATGCTCGTGTGTTGGAATCGAATCGAAGATTTTGATTTATTTTCAATAGTGAAATGTTTACGTAGTAAAAATACTTAAGTTTTTCTTCCATTATATAATTATATTCGCAGTACATGCTAATGTTGTTGATGTATAGTTTATATTGATATTTATTATATACAAATATGTATACATTTATTTTTTTCTCTTATTCACGTTTGTTTAGTACTTACTGTTAAATATAAAATATTATGATATTAATATCACGATGAAAGATGAATTAGTGCCAACAATTAAAATACCAAAAAATAAGTATTAAATAAACGAGCGTTTACAGTGAAGGTTGTCTCCTCGAATGATGGGAAAAAGCAAATTTATAGACCTGTCTTGGAAAATGTTATTATTTCACAGGAAATAAAAATTTATGTCATCACAGAGTGTTAGAAAATATTTAGATACCTGTAAAATTTCAATTATTTATTATTAGCGATATGTGGATAATACGGATTCCAGATGTTTATAGTGAAAAAAACAAATGTTAAAGGTTTGAAAAAATTGGTAGCATTAATTTAAGTATCATAAAGAGTAGTTAGAAAAAAACAAGACATCGTAACGAAGAAAATATTAATTATATGGTATGATTTTGTTTCTTAAGTCCGGAAAAATAAATATCCCCTCAAGTATTATAAACTTTTATTATAACCTTAGTACCCTACACACCCATAATATAAAGGGATTTAGCTACGATAAATGTTGTACGATATCTTCTTGTAGGTCAAATATAATATCAAAATGTGTAACTTAACCATATTTTTTTTTTTTACTGATATTCGTTTCAAATAATATTTTATAATATAATATACAATAAATTAATAATAATCATTGTATAATTGTAGCCTGCAAGCTTAAACAAGTAAACTTATAACGGTTAAAACCAATTTTTTTTACGATTAAAATTATACGACTTAGAGTGCGGGAACAATATTTGATTGAATTTAATTATAGATGTGTCGTCAGAATCTTCTTTGGAAGAACACGTGTACGTTATAATATCAATATACACTAGATATTCGAAACGATAATGCGGATTGTTAACTCCATTTGAAGGGTGTGTGTTTGATACCGCGTGTGCCTCTGAAATCAATCCTTGTTTTGAATAATATGTATATTCGTTTTTTTTTTTTTTAGTTTGAATAAAACCGCACGAATACAATGGTCCATCAATATGTACATTATGTTTTTCTCACGATGAGTTTAACATCCATTGTGTAATGTTTTGTATTTGAAAAAATACATTAGCGTCCTCAGTCATTTATTTCATTATTTATCGGATGTACGTATAACGTGAACAGTTATACCGCCGTAGGAACATAAACTTTCACAGTTGTGTGTACTTCTATTCGAAAATCGCAAATATGTGGTTGGTATTTAATAACATATTGTACATATTTGAACACATAATATCTGATACGAATGTTCGTAGGTATGTTTGTATGTATGTATGAAGACAAAAACCATCAGATTTAAAAAGTATGCATTATAAAATAATTTAAATAATAATGATTACACATATATTCCTATCTATATATATTTTATTCACGAATATATTTATAAAGTGCATTAAGAATACAATCTTGATATGATATTCTATTCGTGTACAAAGCAAACGAAAATGTGTCTGATATTTAAACGATGAACACCTAAAATCACAGGGTTTTTCAACCTATTCAATGTATACCATTTTTTTCATACTTAATAAAAAATTTTACAACTTTAACTTTCTCAATTCACAATTATTATATTGTTTTTAATATAATTACGGTGTTTTATTTTATTTTTATTTTTTTCTGTAGAATAATACCAAATTTAACACAAAAACACAATTTTTCCATTATTTTTCGCTTTTCAGGAGTATTACTAAAAAATAGAATTGGCAATTTTAAACTAAGCGACCCAATTTTAGTGCTATGAATCTCGCCTTTGAATTCCACATGTTAATTTTAATAAACACTTTAAAACTGTAGGTGTATTCACATACTGCAGTAGCGTCCGAAATTGGCTCAACGTAACACGTCACAATTTGGGTTGGATGCATGTTTGGATGCCGGAATTATATTATTTTTTTGGGTAGGACTTAATACTCATATACATATATAAATGTTAGAACTATATAGGAATTATAGTATTAACATTTGGGAAAAGATTATAGAGAAGATAATAAAAGAGATGAGACATCAATATCGGAAAATCAGTTTGGTTTTATGCTAGGAAAATCGACAATAGAGCCATTATTTTGTGTTAGTCAACTAGTAGAGAAGTTTGGGGAAAAGAAGAAAACATTTTGCATGGTGTTTAAAGATTAAGAAAAGGTTATGACAGAGTATCAAGAAAATTTTTAAAGTGGGCATTATTAAGAAAAAAAGTCCCAAAATTGTACATATATTGCATATGTTACGGCTAAAGTCCGAAACATGGCCATAGTGCACATTATCCGGATATTGTGCCCTCTAGCCACACTAGTTGGA